AGTATATACCCACGGATGGTTATTCGATGGTGATGTATATTATACGGGTGTCAACGTCTCCACAACTGTTACCACAGCCTAGTTATGTTTTGATAATGTTTCTAATAGTTTGGCCTTCCAATTTTCAAGTGTACACTATCTATTGAACGGCAGTTTATCAATTTGGTCTTAACATGCACATTTATGATCACGGCCGTACAAGCAACACAAAAAGTTTGCTTGTATTTCATCTCATTAAACTGATACAATAGTGACAGTTTGACGATTGGTAGCCCAGCGTTTAATGCGTTCGTTCGTCACGCCGAAGACCTGGATTTGATCCCCCCCCCCCCCCCCCCCCCCCCCCCCCCACACACACACACACCCCTCTCCATAGCACAATTGCTGGATATTGCTTAAAGCGGCGTAAAACCATACTCACTCCACTCTCTCACTCATTTTCAGTGGAAGAATATGACGAAATGTAATTCGTTGATTTGAACTGCATGTCAGACCCTTAAAAGGTGGGGGCGGTCGGGTAGCCTAGTGGTTAAAGCGTTCGCTCGTCACGCCGAAGACCCGGGTTCGATTCCCGACATGGGTACAATGTGTGAAGCCCATTTCTGGTGTCCCCCGCCGTGATATTGCTGGAATATTGCTAAAAGCGGCGTAAAACCATACTCACTCACTCACTTAAAAGGTGATTGTTGGCGGATGGATATCGTGAACCGGAACACTCTTTCGGCTGGCCAAACGAGTAAAGGGAGGTAACACTTGTAAGCCTTGAGTTCAGCAGGCGCCTGTATTTTGTAGCGGCGTCGTGTTTAGTGTTCGTTATTCAAGGGATGTGCACTAAACAACCGCATTAAGTCGTTCAAATAATTTACAATAGTATCTGCAAGAATATGTGAGTAGGTTGTCAAACAACTGTTTAGTTATTCAATACTTTGGAACAACTAGAATCAAAACCAGAATCGGGTTCGTTATTCAGTCTTTGTATGGGCGAGTTTATAATACGAAATGAGCGTTTAAAATAGTGTGCTTATACGTCAAGTGAGTGAGTGAGTGAGTTTGGTTTAACGCCGCTTTTAACAGTATTCCAGTTATATCACGGCGTGTCAGCTTAATGTGGGAGGAAAGCCCGAAGTGATGCAGGTCTTAGACGTTTACCACTTCGGTGAAACCCACGAGCACGGGTATGGTGCTGACAAACCTAGAAACATAATCGGGGCGAACCGGGGCTTATACGTCCAAGTGAATGCATGTGAGTGTGGCTGCTTGTAGTGGTCCGGAAGTAGTCCGGTTATATTGCTAGTGCACTGAGATGCCATGGCGTAATTTAGTCACGTCTTGCGGTATGATGCGGCCGTGTATCAAACAACTAGACCAGTCTTTGTATAAAAAAAAATATAAACAGAAAACAGTGTTCTTTCCAACGTTAGTAGATATTACGGGGACACCTGTCAGTGGCTTAATGGATGAGCTGAGTGGCTGGCTTTCAATTAGACTAACATCTAGTCTCTGAAATGAACATATCGTACAGAAAAAAAACAGTTGTTCAGTAACATGTATCTAAATAAAAATATAATAAATGGGAGCCCAGTGACTCTTCGTTTTCAGATCTAGACTTGCCAAACATTATAGACTTGCATGGGCTAATTTTGATATATTTTGTATCAGGGTATGTATGACAGACTAGCTTTCAGTGTGTGTCACCTTGTCCCGATACCACTTATCGTTTACTCAAGCTTCCACCACAGGTTTTCCTGCTCTTCATTTTTTACATATATGGTTTGTTTGTTTGTTTGTTGTTTAACGCCGCACATAGCAATATTCCAGCTATATGACGTCTATCTGTAAATAATCGAGTCTGGACCAGATAATCTAGTGATTGATATAATGAGCATCAATCCACGCAATTGGGATACGATGACATGCAATATTCTCGCAATATTATGTCGGTAGAATAGTAGAAATGGGCTTCACATATTGTTCCCACATTGGGATTCGAACCCCGACCTTTGTCAGGTTGCACGATGCAGTCAATAGCAGCATTCAACATGTGTTTGTTTGTTTATTTGTTTGTTTAACACCGCACTCAGCAATATTCCAGTTATACGACGACGGTTGAGTGATTGACATTATGAGCATCGATCCACTCAACTGGGATTCGATGACATGCATCGATCAAGTCAGCGAGCCTGACCACCTGATCCCGTTAGTCGCCATGTACGACAAGCATAACCGGTTCTTTCGGCAAGTATGGGTTGCTGAAGATCTATTCTAACCCGGATCTTCTCCGGTCACATATACGTTTTAAATGTTGCCAAAAAACAACATAGTTTCTGTGAGGTTTCATAACAATCCACACATTATCAAAGCAAAGCCACCCATTTAATAGAGGTAACTGATAAGGTTTCTCTTTCCGCGAAATAGACGTATAAATGAATTGCGAGGCATACATTAATCAGCATCGCGATATAATGTACATGAACACGTGAACGTACAAAAACACATAAAAAACATTAACACGACTACCAATGTTAAGCCATCGGGGTTTAATGAAACACAATATTCATAGAGACACTCTCCGACTAAGAGAATATATTTTTTCCAGCCCGAAATCGAGGCATTATTTGCATTGACAGATGCGACACAACGCCATGAAAACTGACATCAAAGTATGGGGATATTATATTACTTACATTAAGATTTGAATTGTTTTTTTCTTTCGAAACTTCATCAAGGAGGCGAATATTTCTCAAAAGTTGAGACAAACACTAGGTGACCCAGCGTTAGGTTAACATTTTGTCCCAAGAATAAAGTTATCTTATTTAAATATATAGCTATCAAAGTAAAATCCAAATTGAACCAAGAACAATGGTTAATTTCAGCAATCTAGACTTGCCAAATCAATCTAAACGTGATCTGAGTTATTTTTTAAAAAATTATATGGTTATCTACTAAATCCATAGTAAAATCCAAATTGAACCAAGAACAATGCTTAATTTCAGCAATCAAGACTTGCCAAATCAATCTAAACTTGATCTGGGTTATTTTAAAAAAATCATTTAAATATATAGTTACCTACAAAATCCATTGTAAAATCCAAATTGAACCCAGAACAATGCTGAATTTCAGCAATCAAGACTTGCCAAATCAATCTAAACTTGACCTGTGTTATTTTTTAAAATTTATTTAAATATATAGTTACCTACAAAATCCATAGTAAAATCCAAATTGAACCCAGAACAATGCTTAATTTCAGCAATCAAGACTTGCCAAATTATTATAAACTTGACCTGGGTTATTTAAAAAAAATGTTTTTAAACATATAGTAACCTACAAAATCCATAGTAAAATCCAAATTGAACCAAGAACAATGCTTAATTTCAGCAATCAAGACTTGCCAAATCATTCTAAACTTGACCTGGGTTATTTTTTTTATTTAGTCTCCACAGTCTGGGAGACCGTGGTTTGGCAGTTCATGTTCAGTAATTTTGTTGAAAATAAATAAGCAAATAAGTGTTGTTTCACCTTTAACCTTTGGTATCTCTCACCACATAAAATTCCTTAAATTGCTCAGTGTGCATGGACACAGGAGTGTGCGTGCGTGCGTGCGTGCGTGCGTGTGTGCGTGCGTGTGTGCGCGCGCGCGCACCCAACCAATCTATCCCCTCAACAGACAATAAATATGCATTTCAACATGGATTCCCGGTAATCAACGCCGAGGTGTTTAAATCAGCTGCCGTTACTAGAAAGTTCCTAACGTCAAGGTTCCGGAATATATATGAACTGTTTTGAATATATTTATCCGGGTACTAATGCAAACCTAATTTCCTGATTATAACTATTATAAATCGTTCCTCGTAGATCAGGATAGTAATTGATAGTTTCGTATAAATATTTCCTCCCAGTGGTGTAAACATGTCCGATACAGGCTATCACTAAGTGTTGTGTTGCATCAAAAATGTGGGTAAAAGCCTAAATTACCATTTTAACATTTAGATTTTTAAATCAATAGTTTGTTCAGTAATAGGGCAAAGTTGAATAGTTTATTGGCAGTCGTGAAAAATACGAATAGTTTGTCATGAGGAAAATACTCAAACGTCAAAAATGGTATGTTAATAGATAAAATGAATAGATTTGTTTGATGGTGTTGGATATAGATTGTTGTGAGAAAACACCCAACGTAAAATCAAATTGATTATCCCTAAGCATGAACAAGGGGGGGTCGGGGAGCCTAGTGGTTAAAGAGTTCGCTTGTCACGCCGAACACCCGGGTTCGATTCCCGACATGGGTACAATGTGTGAAGCCATTTCTGGTGTCCCCCGCCGTGATGTTGCTGGAATATTGCTAAAAGCGGCGTAAAACTATACTCACTCACTCAGCATGTACATTTCACACGATACATGACGCATGGCAGATATTGCCTTGCTTGAGATTGTCACATTCAGTAAATGTCTGTAGATAATAGATGTACGTTGAGCCCAGACGTTTATATGTCGTTGTTTACCAATATTGTTTTGTGAAAATCCTCATCAGTATAGATTCTGGGGGTGAAAAAAACGTACAAAATATTTCAGATCTATTTTCCTTCTTCAAAAAGGTATCCGATTTTGTAAGCGTATTTGCAGTGTTTATAAAAAAACTTCATAGATCTTACAGTTTGACATATTGTGTGTAAATTTTGTGTGGGGAACTTGTACTTGTTCAGAAGGTGAAACGAAATAAAAAAATAAATAATTATGTTTTTTAAATGCAACGCCTAATAATGAGTGTGACCAAATAATAACGAAATATTGAAATAAAATGAAATCATTATTATTATATTTTAATCTATTAATTGACGTGTTGGTAAATATGCACCCCCGTGTCAATAACCAATTGTATCCACATGTACTAACTGTTGAGCATTTTTATATATCGCTATTATGTTTATTTGTTTGCTGCGCAATCGAGCACTTGTCTGTAGCAGACGAATTTCCTGATTATCTCCCTTTAATCTGGGATTGTGGGTAACCAATACGATAGGCCGCCATATTGTCTGAAACAGGGACTCAGTGCAGCACTAGCTGCTCATTCAACCTAAAATGTTCGGAAATTACGACGTATAGCAATCGAATTGCAGTGGATATTTGTGAATCTATATATTTCCTCTTTAATCCGGCTCTGTGCAATATCTAGAAGGATGGCATCCTTTAAAAAAGGACTGAGTAAAAAACTCAAGCCCGTCGCTCTGAACTGGAAACTGTTTCGAGCAAACGAACCGCTGCTCAGTGTGTTCATGTGGGGAATTAATCACACGGTAGGTCTTAATTGCCTGTAATTGTTTTGGCATTGTTGTACCTTGTTGTTATTGTCAGTCACCCCGAGGGTGGTAAAACGTCATGTGTGTTGATTGTTCTCCAACACCACGCCTACAGCGTTGCTGTCAGATTTGTTTACCAGTGTGTGATTCAGCTGTGTTTACTGAATGACAGATCACCCTATTCTAACCTCACTTTGTTGTACAGGGTGAACTTGCTTGTATAAATATTAAGAAAGAACTTGATGTGATAGAAGCCTTTAGGGAGCTTGCATACATATAATGTTATTGGCAGTGTTCGTTGGAAGCTCGAACTATTCATGTAATATATATTTTGGTCCAAATGCTAATACTATTATTGGTACTAGGTTACTCTCAAATATTTGTACCAGGCCTAATGTATTATTTAATAATTGTTTGTCTCATAAAACTTAACATTTCTTTTGCTGTATGTTGAATTAGGTTAAAGTTGATTCTACTTTGGTAAACATATCGTGTTACTTATGATGAATACCACTACCAGTACATATATTGCTTTTCTATGGCACTCGTTATGTCTACATGATCTGTTTAGCTTATAATTTAAAAAATAAAATAAAAAAAGGAGCTATTATATTTTTTTCCAGAAAAGTGTTCATAAGCATGATAAGGATGATGATAATTACCACAGAATCAACATGTTACTGGCTGAATACAACTCTCCCGAAGTCATATTATATTTTTGAAAGAATATATTTTTAATCATGTTACATTTTCTCCAATTTGACAGTGTATGTCATTGTTTGGGTGAAGGCTGGAAAATTGAAAAAACAATATGATTTTTGGGACTGGCAGGTTGCAATACAATGTAACATTTTGGGATTATGCAACTTTAGTCCTTTAAAATTTTAACTGGTGTCCATTGTCGTACCAACGAAGCATAATACCAGGCCGTGTATATCACTACCGAGGTACACTGATTATATAAGTCCATGTCAAGGACAGCCACAGCATTTGCAGTATCATTTTGACTGTCACTTATCTCTTGATATCATTGTCAAGTAATGTATCAGTGTGTCAACAATATGAACCAGTCTCATCATTTATCATGTTTGTGTCAGTTGTATACATAAGTGATTATCAATGAACATCAAATATACAGGGACTTATCTAGACTGGGTCAGAGGATGGTATTCGGCAGCAAATGTCTGTAAAAATTCCTAAATTGGAATTAAACATTTCCCAATTCATGCTGTTTTAGTTATCATGGTTATAAGTTAATGTGATGTCTTGGTGGAGGTGACTTGTATTGACATAACCAATGAAGGGGCAGAGGTTTAATGCTTTGTGCATTAAATATAATATTAAAATTCAATGTTTAATACCTCTGAAATTAGGAATTTACCCACCAACATACCAAGGGAATTCTAGTTAAGTCCCTGTATTAATATAAGATGCTGCTGTATGGAAAATATACATCGTGTTCAATAGCCATGCTGTGCTTGTAGTAGGGAGTCTGATTAAGAAAATTCATTTTGACAAGTCATTATGATGATCACGATAACATACATGATACACTATAACATGGTTCTTATTACTTGACTCAGTGTTTCAAATTAGGACAGTGCTCGAGGTTTTCTGCTAATAAGTGATGTATTTTACACAAGGACACTGTAGACGTAAACCTGACAAGTGCATATGTTTAATCCTTGCACAGTTTTACTTGTCTTGGTCATGTGACCATGAAAATTATAACATTTTACCTTACAAAATCACCTGGATGAGATCAAAAGATATTTTCAAGGAAATATTGCTCAGGGATAATTCTAGGCTGGGGCCTCGTGCTTTTAGCCCCTAAATTTGAAAAGAAAGCCCCACATTTTCATTTACAATGGGTCATTGCTGAAACGTAAGTGTAGTTGTTTGTAGGCCCGTTAGTTTGGAGAAGGGCTGGTGACATTTAGAAGCAGCAAGCCCTGCTGGCTATATACAAATTTGTTGTTAAATTTACCCCTGTTATCTGTACTTTCTACACTCAAAGACAGTAGTTATTACTGTTTACAAACTGAAAAAGTTGAAAGAATGGTTTTGGATGATAATAGAATAATCACCCTTGTATCTTTTGATATCAAATACATCAACATAGGTCTTCAGCAACCCATGCTAACGCAAAAAACGACTATGATTGTCTTTAAAGGCGACTAACGGGATCGGGTGGTCAGGCTCTCTGACTTGGTTGATGGATGTCATTGTATCCCAATTGCGTGGATCGATGTTCACGATGTCAATCACTGGATTGTCTGGTCCAGACTCGATTATTTACAGACCACCATCATATTGCTGAGTGCGGCATTAAGCAACAAGCAAACAAACATATTGATCATTGTTGATCACTGTTGATAAAAGTTTTAAGAGCTTCATGCATGAATGTTTTTGCCTGGTTATCTAAATGTTTCAGTCGTCTTAATTCTGAAGAGATTATGGACATTATGTATTATATCGATCATTTTGTCATGAGTCAAATGTGAATTATTTACAATCTACTTGACGCAAATTACACTTCACACTCCATGAAATCATGGGATTAGACTTAATTTTGAAATCCATGTCAAGGATGGAAAATAATGAAGAACATCTACCATGTCTACATGGTCTACCAGCCCAAATAGTGATAACATACAGCAATACCTCCCGAAATGTTTGAAATTCTACTAGTTCTAGGTATGTTACTTTAACATTAACAAAACAGGTCAGGGCCAGTGCTAATTTCTATCCTTGCATGTATGCTCATTAACTTGTCCATGTGGTATGTTTAAATCAAAACATGTCTTATTGTGTTTTGTTGTTTAACCATGTTAACTTTAAGTACCGTATTCGAGGTAATAAGCGCCCAGGTCGCTCTCAAAAATAGAAATAAGGGGCTCTTATTAGAATATAATTTTGGTGAAAGAGTTGAAAGATCGTAAATTTCGTGGTTTATGCTTACAGTTTGAAATGATACAAAAGAAAAGTATGTGCGTTATACACGACAGATATACTTTTCCAGAATTTAATTGCCCGAAATTAAGGGTGAATATAACACACGAGTGCGTATCATATACGAATAAATAAGTCTTGTGTACATTGATCAATCGGAAGGGTGCTAATTGGGATTGTTCACTAGCCAATATATCAGCAAATATCGCCGTGGGCGCTTATTAGAGCGGGGTGCTTATTACGTCGAATACGGTATATGCAAATTGAACTAATTATTAAAATCATACAATCATTTGAAACAAGTGCTATCATGGCTATAGCAGCTTCCCTACAACATGTCAAAGTAGGATGAGTGCTAGGGACTGAAGGAGTGCATCACTAGTGCTTGTAGTATGCATGCCTTTGTTTACCAATAGCAGTGTCATGACATCCTGGAAAAGTCATGGAATTTTAGTTTGAGTTTCATAGGCCTGGAGTAGTTTTAGAAAATAGAAAAATGTTAACGTTTCTGGTGATGTATCAGTGGGGGAATGGCTGGCCCAGTCGTCTAAGGCGCTGCGATTCGCTGTGCAGAGTTGTGTTCCTTGGGCATGCCAGAAACCTATGATTGTGGATTCGAATCCCGGTTTGCCCCGATGATGTTTCTAGGTTTGTCGGCCCCATACCTGAGCTCATGGGTTTCACTGAAGTGGTAAACGTCTGAGACCTGCATCACTTCAGGCATTACTCCCACATTAAGCTGACTCGCCGCGATGTAACTGGAATACTGTTAGAAGGGGCGTTAAACCCAACTCACTCACTCACTCACTCACTGATGTATCTGTGACAGGAAAATAAATATGACAACTATTGTCCCTTTTCAATGTTGTTCTGTTATTCTGAGTTCATAGTATTACATGATGGGAAAATGGCATAATACCCTGGAAATTTGTCTATGAACAAAAGTGTATGAACCCTGTTGTAGATACAACTGGAGGGGGGCCAAAGGCCGCAGTGAACTATAGCTTTTACAAGAAACAGACTATTTGTCTTATGTGAGTTCATCTTGGTAGAACAGATAAACTTCATAAAGGGTTTAATGATGGAATCCCAAATTATTCCCTGTAGTCATACATGCAACCCAAGAGCATAATAAATAAGCTTCAGTCTGTGTCAAAAATCTTCGAGTATGCTCTGATAGTAGCCTGAACCTGTCTCTCGACATCATTTTCAGTTGATGTTAGTGTTGATAGAATAATATGCACTATTACAAGCCGAACATACCAGTAAGGGTGTCACGATATCAAAGTCAAAATATCGATATATTGCTATTGGTAAGAACTTAAAGTCAATAAATCGATTGATAAATCAGTTTCCAATCGAATGGTATCGATTTCAGTTAGGAATAGCAATAGGTTCGATTGTATTTACCATATCATGCATTTGAGTCACTAAAACACGCTCGCGAACACAGCCGAGTGAGGATTAGAGTTAACTGCCCTTGATGCTTAGCAACCGGTCTTTCTTAAAGTAAAATGGCGGAGGGTGACAGTCAAGTGATGTTTTGACAAACTTAAGTCGAAATCGAGTGTTTGGAAGTCTTATGGTTAGCACATTCAAAGGAAACTTCAGTTGCAAGGTTTAATTCAATTCTAAAATCTGTCTAAAATGATACACTGAAAACTATCAATATTTGTTGGAATGGTTGCTTGCAATAGTGATTTCCAGTCCAATAGTCACCCCTACATCATGTACATACCAGGCCGAGTCTCAGGCTTCAGACTAGTGGCTAATGTTATGACAGCCATTATTAAAGTGCATGTGATCATATGTCATCCTGACCTCATTACGTTACAAGGAACATGAACAACATGAACAATGAGTCCTAATCATAGAACAAGAAAAACTTGCTAATGTCAACTTAGTCTATAGATAATAGGATAATGTGTACGTAATCATGGTAAAATATGGATTCATTTGTAAATGATGAACACCTGCAAGGGCGGACAAGTTAGGTCTCTTATTTAGCTAGCACTGATTACTCTCTATTTAGGGGTTACTATTAGCATGACAATACCAGACAAGTACACTGATTGCTAAATATTCACATGTTACTATTAACTAACAAAACTCAGCATGCTCAGAGGCCTAGTGACATAGGTCTTGCATTACTAAATAGTGTTTCAAAATATTAATATGTAGGTCAGAATTTCTTGTATACGATGACTAGGGCTGTTACGATTCACTCGCGTATACAAAAAGTATTCATTCATGAACTGAATCCGTTATTCATGACCAATAGAATCGAATGTTTATGAATATGCAGTCATGTTTATTTACATACCCTGCATCTAAAAATATCCATAAGAACATATTATACACATGTTATGCATAGATTTCTTCAAAGAAAACACTCTTATAATATTTAATTTGACAGTAATCATGGTAATGTGGTCACTGGTCATTGTCGCATTTGAGCAGATACTAGTACCTGGATAACTGAAGTATGTAAATGTATAATATGTTAATAATTAACAAACCATATCAAATAATTTGTGTTGCTTTTGTCTCATTTGTCTCATGTTGAATATAACAAATAATACACTAACTGCTGACTTGTTATTGTATTCGTGAATTAATATTCGCATTTGTTACCCTATTTTCGTGATACAAATCGTATTCGCCTTATAGTGTATTCATTGCAGCCCTAATGATCACTAAAGGTGTAATGATGTGCAATGTATGTAATGAAACTATTATCATCATGATGATAATCTGGATGAGTGCTGAAAAAAATTAGTTCTTTCGTTCAATTCTCATTGTCACCACAAAATTTGGATGAAACTTTTTTCATATCCATAGCAGGATATATTTGATATCCATTATGATGAAGATGCGATATACAGCTTTGGGATACTAACTTGTTCTGGCAATATTACACAGCCTAGGGGTACAGATCAACACTGATACCAGTGATAGAGGTACTGGCTTTAGACTCACATGAGGAATGTAGGAAAGTGGCATTGGGTATTGACCGAAGAAGGCCTTTCTTGATGGTTGCCGGCCCCATCAGGGGAATGGTCTTTTGGGTGATTGGAACTGAAGGGGAACCAGGTTCAAGATCTCAGGTCACAGGATCACAAAGATTAAGCCTTGAGTTTATCTTAAATAGGGACTGGAATAAGTGGCCTTACTGATTTCCAACATTAATTCAAAGTGTTATATTTGATGCCTTGGGTGTATTGATACAGATGGGATGTTATCAGTATTGATCTGCAGTCTGTGACATTTTCCACTGGTCTGAAACCCCTGTCTAGTAAATTCTTAGGTCAATTAACATTAAGATGAAGAACAGCTTCTACTTGTGCTTATTCTATGACTAACATCCACTCTAAATAATGCCAAAATACAAGTTCAGTCTAATAGATTTTTTGCACAGACTTGATCTGTATTGATCTTGATTGAGTTGACATTGAGCAATTAAAGTCCATTGGAACTTCCTGTGATTTGAGTTTTAGCATGTTTAGGTATGTTAGCATTGAGTTGAGGTTTATACCATTTGCTTTAGTTTTCCTCTTTCGAAAGTGTTTACTTATTGACCAATCAGAATTGTCCAATCGCCTAACAGATGTCTAAATCATCTAGAACAAATAGGGCCTTCAGTACATGGTATGAAACAATATATATCCACTACACCTGTAATATTAGTTCAACAGGGAGGTGGGGTAGCCCAGTGGTTAAAGCGCTCATTCGTCACGCCGAAGACCTGGGTCCAATTCCCTGCATGGGTACAATGTGTGAAGCCCATGTCTGGTGTCCCCTGTCGTGATATAGCCGGAATATTGCTGAAAGCAGCGTAAAACTGTGCTCACTCACTAACTGCTTGTTCAACAGACACTTTATCATATCCGCAACAACATGTACAAGTTTCCTTACACACTTTGTTATTCACTAAGACACCAATACACATTCAATATACACTTTGTTATCCACTAAAACACCAATACACATTCAATATACACTTTGTTATCCACTAAAACACCAATACACATTCACTATACACTTTGTTATCCACTAAAACACCAATACACATTCACTATACACTTTGTTATCCACTAAAACACCAATACAGATTCAATATACACTTTGTTATCCACTAAGACACCAATACACATTCAATATACACTTTGTTATCCACTAAAACACCAATACACATTCAATACACACTTTGTTATCCACTAAAACACCAATACACATTCAATATACACTTTATTATATCTGCAACAACATGTACACGTTTCCTTACACACTTTGTTATCCACTAAAACACCAATACACATTCAATACACACTTTGTTATCCACTAAAACACCAATACACATTCAATACACACTTTGTTATCCACTAAAACACCAATACACATTCAATATACACTTTGTTATCCACTAAAACACCAATACACATTCACTATACACTTTGTTATCCACTAAAACACCAATACACATTCACTATACACTTTGTTATCCACTAAAACACCAATACACATTCAATATACACTTTGTTATCCACTAAGACACCAATACACATTCAATATACACTTTGTTATCCACTAAAACACCAATACACATTCAATACACACTTTGTTATCCACTAAAACACCAATACACATTCAATATACACTTTATTATATCTGCAACAACATGTACACGTTTCCTTACACACTTTGTTATCCACTAAAACACCAATACACATTCAATACACACTTTGTTATCCACTAAAACACCAATACACATTCAATACACACTTTGTTATCCACTAAAACACCAATACACTTGTTGACATCAGCTGATATGTGATGTGTTGTTGACATCAGCTGATGTGTGATGTGTTGTTGACATCAGCTGAGGGGTTGTTGACATCAGCTGATATGTGATGTGTTGTTAACATCAGCTGATGGGTTGTTGACATCAGCTAATATGTGATGTGTTGTTGACATCAGCTGATATGTGATGTGTTGTTGACATCAGTTGATGTGTGATGTGTTGTTGACATCAGTTGACGTGTGATGTGTTGTTCACATCAGCTGATGTGTGGTGTGTTGTTGACATCAGTTGATGTGTGAGGTGTTGTTGACATCATTTGATGTGTGATGTGTTGTTGACATCAGCTGAGGTGTGATGTGTTGTTGACATCAGCTGATGTGGGATGTGTTGTTGACATCAATAGATGTGTGATGTGTTGTTGACATCAGTTGATGTGTGATGTGTTGTTGACATCACCTGAATGTGTGATGTGTTGTTGACATCAGCTGAGGTGTGATGTTTTGTTGACATCAGCTGATATGTGATCTGTTGACCTCAGTTAATGTGTGATCTGTTGACATCAGCTGAGGTGTGATGTTTTGTTGACATCAGCTGATATGTGATCTGTTGACCTCAGTTAATGTGTGATCTGTTGACATCAGCTGATATGTGATCTGTTGACATCAGTTAATGTGTGATCTGTTGACATCAGCTGAGGTGTGATGTTTTGTTGACATCAGCTGATATGTGATCTGTTGACCTCAGTTAATGTGTGATCTGTTGACATCAGCTGATATGTGATCTGTTGACATCAGTTAATGTGTGATCTGTTGACATCAGCTGATATGTGATCTGTTGACATCAGTTAATGTGTGATCTGTTGACCTCAGTTAATGTGTGATCTGTTGACCTCAGTTGATGTGTGATGTGTTGTTGACATCAACTGATGTGTGATGTGTTGTTGACATCAGCTGATATGTGATCTGTTGACATCAGTTAATGTGTGATCTGTTGACATCAGTTAATGTGTGATCTGTTGACATCAGCTGATGTGTGATGTGTTGACATCAGTTAATGTGTGATCTGTTGACATCAGCTGATATGTGATCTGTTGACATCAGTTAATGTGTGATCTGTTGACATCAGCTAATGTGTGATCTGTTGACATCAGCTGATGTGTGATGTGTTGACATCAGTTAATGTGTGATCTGTTGACATCAGCTGATATGTGATCTGTTGACATCAGTTAATATGTGATCTGTTGACATCAGCTGATGTGTGATGTGTTACTGACATCAGCTAATGTGTGATGTGTTGTTTCAGGTAAATGAGTTGAACCATGTGAACCTGCGTGTGATGCTTATGCCTGATGACTTCAAGGCCTTCAGCAAGATCAGAGTGGACAACCACATGTTTAACAAGTGAGTATCTGGCCGCACACCCTTTATGGTTTGTAGATTAGGCACGTCTTTTAATGAGATTTTCATCTCTGTCTGATTTCTTAGAATCCAGCTTTTGATCAAATGCATATACTACTCAAAAAATGTAAAATCACACCTGTTTCCTTCCTATTAGAGACCGTCTCCGTGGTCTAGTGGTAGAGCGTCCGCCCGGAGAGCGGAAGGTCCGCGGTTCGATCCCTGACCGCATCATACCAAAAGACGTTAAAAGATGGTACTTGTTGTTACCCTGTCTGGCGCTCGGCATTAAGGGGCTAAAACAAGGACTGGTAGGCTCAGAGTCAGTATACTGTGTCTGAGTGGGGTATTCATGGTAAACTGCGGCATGGTATCTCAGTGAGCTAGCACTATAAATCGGCATCAGTCCGGACTAGTACAAGCACAACCATGAACACTTTGTTTTCCTTTTTAACAGTCATACCTATTTTAAAAAAATTAATTAATTTTTTGGTTTGTTTGGTTATCAAATCATGTTTTTTCTTGTCAACCACACCATTCTCTATTAAAAATAGCCATGTCCCTTCACTTTCACTTTGACATTGGAGAATCAGTAATGAGTCGCTTTCACAACAAATAATAAATGTTATTACATCCCTTTAAAGGGTTTGTAGGCCTGCTGCGCAAACACACTTTTTGTTTATTTCTTCAACAGAAAGTTGCCAAGTGTGCTGTTTATTTATTGTATAAGTGATATATGTATTGTTATTATTACTATGAATGTACGAGAAATGAAAATGAAATGAGGTTTGAAATTATCTTGCATATTTTATTGAAAACGATTATAGATGAATTGATACGATTGAAATAAATGCACTCGCACGACGAGTGTTTCTTCACTTCTTTCTCACCCTGCACATGCTATCACTCGTCAATACAGCTGGATGAGTCGACTTTTCGAGCCCTGCTACTACTCGTGTTACTGACAAACTTGTTGGACCCGTGAAGATTCCGGGGTAGAATAGGTCTTCAGCAACCCATGCTTGCTGTAAAAGGTGACTATGCTTGTCGTAAAAGGAGACTAACGGCATCGGCAGGTCAGGCTCGCTGACTTGGTTGATACATGTCATCAATCCCAATTATGTGGATCGATGCTCATGATATCAATCACTGGATTGTCTGGTCCAGACTCGATTATTTACAGACCGCCGTCATATAGCTGGAATATTGCTGAGTGCGGCATTAAACAACAAACCAACCAACCGCCCGACAAACTTGTTGAAGATGAATTCTACACATGGTGACTACTTGCAAAGTCCATTCTTGGGGTCCTGTGCTAGGATTATCACAGCAATATTGCACTCACTGACTTGTGGCAAGGGTGGGTTCAAATCCCGGATTCATCCTGATTTGGGTCCAAGGTGTGTCAGCAACATACTCTTGTGTTTCACCAGTCTGTTCATCTTCTCAAAGCCACATGAAACGTTTCTCACTCTCTGACTCTCAAAGGTACCTTCAACCTGTCGGCTCACTCCCTCTGAGGGAACACGGTGAAGCTAGGGAGTGTTTCACACAGACACTGTCACAGTGTGGTGTCATGTTTGGAATTGTCCAAGCCACATTTTAAATACAACTGTTCATCAACAAATATAGCAACAAGCCCAAAGCCAGAGTCTAGTAAAAAGTATAGTAGTCTCGGCAAATAATACTCGAATAATAACAAAATCTACAGATAATACTTGAGCCACATTCAGGCTTGCAGACAGAAACCTTTCGGGCACAGACTGTTTATATATACTTCTAAAAAGAAATTACAGAATGACACATTTTCACATAATGTTGTTAATCTGTCATGCCAGACAGATCAAGTATTGTAATATGAAAGAATTGGGTGTTCTTGAACTTCTTTTGAGTGGCAGTGTTTGCGTTTACGCCGTCCCATACACACATAAAAACAGACACTTAAAGGTTTTAAACAGACAATTTATTTGGGCTCAGAATGGCCTAAAGTACACCATTTTATGTCTACATTTGTAAAAAATTCCTGGGGCATGGGGTAGGTGTGTGTGCAATCCCTACAAACTTCCATTGGACGACACTTTACGCCTTCAGTGGTGCAGCTACCACGTCCAATGGGAACCCCATTCATTTAGGGCCCAATCTATACACTGAGTCGTATATATGTAATCTTACATGTAGGGTTTGATCTGAAATGCAATATGTGTCCCTTGTCTGGCGCAAGTTCAAGCTGTTGGTTTGTTGTAACAACGTGGGTAACCATGGTAAATATTTTAGTAAACAAATTCTGCTGTCATTGAAGATTTCTGTTCGGCCAGGAAGAACTAACAGATGGCTGTAGTGAAACACAAGGGTTTGGGGGGTTGTTACCGAATTAACCCCAACTGTTGAATCAGAGGTTCATGTGAGCATGTCACGGAGCGTTTACAAGTCAATAAATGTTATACATATTCGACGCCTAAACACATGCTAAATGAATGGTAATGATATTTTTTGTTACACTTGGGTTCTCAATTCCATCAATTATGTCTATTGCAGTGCCAAGCACAGTAATAATAGTAATGGCACAATTAAGATACGTTCCTGTGCCTTATTGGCATACCAAGATATAATTTATTTTAACATCTACATTGTGATGATAATTATTATATGGGCCAATGGAAAATGTACTTTCAACCAAGTAAGCTGGACAAAATACACAGCATGATTGATTCATGAAATGAACCCTGCAATTCAAAGTTTAAGCAAGTATTATCTATATCAATGAAGTGAAAGGGAATTAATTTTCTACATTACAACTGCTTATTATCTGGCTCTGGCTCATTATCACATTCACAAAGTTGGAAGATGGATCAAAAGTGTTTCATTTTATTTCTCTCACTTATCAATGATAAGTCCCAAAAGGTGCACCTAAGCATCTTTGAATATACATTTCTCTCTGTGTGCCCCATTCCATATGACCCTTCTGGTCGTTCTTAAAACATCTCAGCCTGGAACACAATCATTATGACCGCGTTAGAAACTAACAGTTTTGGTCCACTAGTCCCTATAATGATAACATGTAGCAAAACCCATAAAAATGGCAAGTTTCTACTGGTCCTCATGATACCTTAACTATTGGGCAGTTTGGCAAGGACTACAGGACTAGTGCCAATTTCTAACGCTGTTATCAACACCGTCATAGTTGGGCATTGCAGCGTGGGAGAGTGTTCACATGTTAATTTGAACCATGAAAATCGAAGTGAATTGGTCTTCATGAACCTATGCTTGTCGTAAAAGATGACTAGTAGGATCAGGACTTGTAGGGCCGGGACGATACTCCAATTGGGCGATCCGATACATATCACGATACCTTGCTCACAATCTGATACGTATCACGATACTTGCATGTGCTCTTATCGGTGGTAAGCCATCTTTTTCATAGACAGGATGGCCCAATACCTGGCCTACTAACGATTTACAGTTGGGAGTGTGGCACAATGGATGAAAATATTTACGTTTTCACTACTCATTTTCACTAGTAATTAGTGTTTGGTGAAAAGTTCATGAAAGAATACATTTAAGGTAAGAATGGATGCATGTCATCGTATATCAGTTGTGAAGCGATGCTCATGATATCAATCACTGGATTGTCTGGACCAGACACGATTATTTACACACCGCCATCATATAGCTGGAATATTGCCGAGTGCAGCATTAAACAACAAACAAGTGAACAATGTTTGAGTGTTGGTTATTAATGTTAAATGAAGATAGTTTCCTGCCCAGCGAAAAGTAATTTAGTTGATAACATTAATATTTGTTTCTGGAAAACGTCTTGGTGAATAATTTTTGTTTTGTAATTTGCAGCGTGCAACTGATACATACCATTCATACTGAGGGCTTGTAAGATACATGTGAGGTTATCCTGGTAATAAGTACAACATTGTACAAAGTCATCCAGGTGAAATACTAAGGTTATCAGGGTTAGAAGCTAACAGTTTTTGTCCACTAGTCCTTACAATGATAACATATAGCAAAACCTTTAAAATGGGCCAATTTCTACTACTAGTACTAGTCCTTAAGATAACTTTACTATTGGGCAGTTTGGTAGGGACTATAGGACTAGTGCCAATTTCTCACGCTGAGGTTATTATTATATTCGTGATCTGGATGAGTTTTCTTGGCAGTTAGTTATGGATTGATAAAAATATTATTTTTAATTTTTTCTATGATAGGTTAGTCAGGTTATAAAACTTTCATACATGATTAAATAAATGTTGAAGTTAGAGTCTTCCCAGTTAAGGAATTTATCTAGACCTGCTCAGGGGCCAATATTCGGCCCCAAATCTGCAGCAAATGTCTGTTACAAATCCCAAATCGAATTAAAAGTTTACTAATTCATATTAGAAAATGTTATGTTACTGTTATGGCTTTTATAGAGAGACTTCCATTTCACTGATAACAGGAATAGGAAATATTAAGAGATAGCGTCTATAATCATGATAATAAACACTATTTCATTGAATGCAATGCATTGAATTTAAACTTTACAAAAAAAAGAACTGAATTAAATTCCAGTTTTGAACACAGTTACATTTTCCCCCCTATTTTCCTGTCAATGGCCCTTGTTTTTGTGGAATCCTAAATAAATCTCTGCAGTAATCAGACCAGAGATTGATCCATGTTTGACTAATCATGTATATTTTCCTCATTGAATAATCATATCATGTATCAGAAGTGACTAGACTGCTTTCCATTTCCATTTCCTCCACTACCATAAGTAGAACCAACATTTGTAAGACCTGGATACATTAATGAATTAATTTATTTATTAAGCCACATCCTACCTGTCCTAGTAAGCTTGTGCATTAAGCCACATCCTACCTGTCCAGGTCAGATCAGGCATTAAGCCACATCCTACCTCTCCTAGACAGCTCAGGCATTAAGCCACATCCTACCTCTCCTAGTCAGCTCAGGCATAAAGCCACATCCTAGCTGTCCTAGTCAACTCCGGCATTAAGCCA